TAAAAGACATAGGAAAGCATGGCCCATTCACAAGGAAAACACAAACCAAAAAGGAAAACGACAGAAACTGTCCCCGAGGAAATCCAGACATTGGGCTTACTAGATAAAGATTTTAAATCTGGTGTCTTAAATATGCACAAAATGCTAAAGGAAACCATGGATGAAGAACTAAGGGAAACCAGAATGATGTATGAACAAATAGAAAATATTAATAAAAAGAAATTATACAAAGGAACCAAATAGAAATTCTGGAGCTGAAAAGTAAACACTGAAATGAGAAATTTACCAGAGGGGTTCAACATCAGATTTGCAGCAGGCAGAACAAAGAATCAGTGGCTTGAAGATAAGCAAATTGAAATTATCCAGTTTGAGGTGCATAAAGGAAAAAAAGAGTGAAGAAAAGTGAACAGAGCCTAACGGACTTGTAGGGCCCCATTAAGTGTAACAACCTATGATTTATAAGAGTCCCAGAAGGAGAGGAGGGAAAGGGCCAGAGAGAATATCTGAATGGCCTCCACCATGTGTTACTACAAATCAGTAACCTAACTGTACACCTTAAGGAACTAGAAACAGAAGAGCAAATTAAACCCAAAACTGGCAGAGGAAAGAAATAAAAACGATTAAAGTGGAGACAAATGAAACAAAGTATAGAAAAACAGTGAAGAGGGTCAACAAAACCAAGAGTTGTTTCTTTGAAAAGATCAACAAAATTGACACACCTTTAGCTGAACTAAGCAAAAAAGAGGAGATGCAACAGACTAAAATTAGAAATGGAAATGAGGCCATTATTACCAACCTTACAGAAAAATGATTATAAGAGAATAAAAATTGTATGTCAAAAATTAGATAACCTAATTATCCATTTAGAAATGGAAAGACTCCTAAAAAGGCATAAATTACCAAAACTGACTCAAAAAAAAGAAAGAAAATCTAAACAGATACGTAAGAAAAAAATAGTTGAATCAATAATCAAAAACCTCTTAGCGAAGAAAAGTCCAGAGTCAGAAATGCTTCACTGATAACTTTTACCAAACATTTAAGGAAGAATTAACATCAATCCTTCTCAAACTCTTCGACAAAATAGAAGAGGAGGGAATACTTCCTAAGTCATTCTATAATACCAAAGCCAGATAAAAGCAGCAGAAGAAAAGAAAACTACATTATGTGCCAATGTCCTTTATGAATACAGATGTAAAATCTTCAACAAAATACCAGCAAACTGAATCCTATCGCATGTTAAGAGGATTATACACCATGACCAAGTAGGGTTTTCCCAGGAATTCAAGGGTTGTTCAACATAAAATTAATCAATGTAGCACACCACATTAATAAAATGAAGGAAAACCCACATGCTGATCTCAAATGATGCAAAAAAAGAGAGGCATTTGATTAAATTCAATACCCCTTCATGATAAAAAAAACACTTAGCAAACTAGGAATAGAATGGAAGTCCCTCAACGTCATAAAGGCCATATGTGAAAAACCCACAGTTAACATCACACATGATGAATGATACACCAAAAGCTTTTCCCCTGAGATCAGAAAGAAGGGTGCCTGCTGTCACCACTGCTATTCAACATCGCACTGAAGGATTTTGCCAGAGCAATTCAGCAAGAAAAAGAAATAAAAGAAACTGGAAAGGAAGAGGTAAAATACCACTATTTGCAGATGACATAATACTATAGCTAGAAAATCCTTAAGAATTCACCAAAAAATTATTAGAGCTAATAAACAAATTAAGCAAAATGGCAGGGTACAAGATTAACACAAAAGTTAGCTGTGTTTATATACACTAACAATGAACAATCCAAAAAGGAAATCAAGAAAACAATTCCATATATAATAGTATCAAAAATAATAATATACTTAGGAATAGATTTAACCAAGGAGGTGAAAGACTTATACACTGGAAACTACAAAACATTGCTGAAAGAAATTAAAGATCTAAGTAAATGAAAAAGCATCCCATGTTCATGTAATGGAAGAATTAGCATTGTTAAGATGGCACTTTTTCTCAAACAACATCTAGATTCAGTGCAATCCCTGCCAAAATCCCAATAACCTTTTGTTCTTTCAGAAATGGAAAAGTTGATCCTAAAATTCATATGAAATTGCATAGGACCCAGAATAGCCAAAACAATCTTTAAAAAGAACAACAAAGTTGGAGGGCTCAAACTCCCAATTTCAGAACTTACTACAAATCTACAGTAATCAAAACAGTGTAATACTGGCATAAGGACAGAAATAGAGATCAATGGAATTTAATCAAGAGTCTAGAAATAAATCCATGCATGTATGGACAGTGACTTTTGACAAGGATGCCAAGACAATTCAATGGGGAAAGAACAGTCTCTTCAACAAGCAGGTGCTGGGACAACTGGATATCTACATACATGGATCCTTACATCATATACAAAAATCAATATAAAGTGGATTAGAGACTTAAATATAAGAGCTAACAAAATAAAACTCTTAGAGGAAGGTATAAGGGTATATCTTCATGTCCTTAGATTTGGTGATAGACTCATAGACATGACACCAAGAGCATGGGCACCAAAAGAACAAAAGAGATAAATTGTACTTCATAAACATTAAAAACTATAAGAAAGTGAAAAGATGACCACAGAATGGGAGAAAGTATTTGCAAATCATATATCTGATAAGGGTCTAGTATCCTGAATATATAAAGAACACTTACAACTCAACAGCAAAATGACAAACAATCTGTCTTAGTCTGTTTGGGCTGCTATAACAAAATCCAGTAGACTAGGTGGCTTATTAACAACAGAATTTACTTCTCACAGTTCTGGAGACTGGGAAGTCCAACATCAAGGTGCCAGCAGATTCGATAGAGCCCGCTTCCTTGTTTATAGACTGTTGTATCCTCACAGGGCAGAAGGAGTAACTTATCTTTCTAGTGTCTTGTTCATAAGGGCACTATTCGCATTCATGAAGGCTCTGCCCTCATGACCTAATCATCTCTCAGAGGCCCCACCTTCTAATACCATTACATTTGAGGGGTAGGGTTTCCACATGTGATTATGGGGGAGAACAGACAGTCTATAGCACAGCCCAAGTTAAAAACAGGCAAAGGACTTGAATAGATATTTCTCCAAAGAAGGTGTATAAATGACTACCAAGCACACGAAAATATGTTCAACACCATTAACCATTAGGGAAATGCAAAGCAAAACCACAATAAGATACCACTTTATACACACCAAGATGGCTCTAGTAAAAAAAAAAAAGGAAAATAGTAAGTGTTGGCAATGACGTGGAGAAATTGGAGTTCTCATACATTACTGGTGGCAGTGTAAAATGGTGTGGCTGCTGTGGAAATCTGTTTGTCAGCTCTTCGGTAAGTTAAACATAGAATGACCCAGCAATCCACTCCTGGGTGTATATCCGCAAGATTTGAAATGCAGGTCTGCACATAGATTTGCACGGATATGTTCATAGCCGTATTATTCGTAATAGAGATAAAGTGAACACAATCCAGCTTCCACCAGCTGATGAATGGAATAACCAAATGTAGCATATCTGTGCAATGGAGTATTACTCGGGCATAAAAATGAATGAAGTACATGCTACCACACAGAAGAAACTCACACACGTTACGCAAAAGAAAAGAAAGCAGACACAAAAGACCACATGCATGATTCAATTTATACAGAATACCCAGAAAAGAAAAAGGAAAATCAGTAGAGACAGAAAGGAGATTACTGGGGCTGGGAGTGGGAACGGGATTGACTGCAAACAGGAACAAGGGACCTTTTTGGAAATGTTCAAAAAATTAGATAGCAGTGATGGTTGCAAAGCTCAGTAAACTTACTAAAAATCATTGAATTGTACACTTACAATGGGTGAATTTTATGCTGTGTAAATTATACCTCAATAAAACTGTTAAAATAAAAAAGAGGAAATGGGTTGAAGGAGGGGCTGTGTCAATTATTTTTTTCCCAGTAGTCCCCTTGGCTGAAATGCAGATTTAACCACTTCCTCCCCACTGACCAGCTTTAAATACTCAGGGGTGTTGGGAGGGTGTTGAGAGATCTTATTTCACCCTCTTCTGAGACCTCCTGGGCCACATTCATGAGACAGGAGCTGACCTAGAGGGGTCCCTTAAGGGACCCTTCCCTCAACACAGATCTATTTCTAAGGGGACTCAGTTTCACCCCAAAGGACATGGCAGCTGTTAACTTTCCACCTCCAAAAGCATCTACTTTTTAAACACAAAGGGTTAAGTTGCCACTGCTGCATCTTACCCACTCCCTAAATCATGGCTGGAGCACTCTTTTGAAAATGTAGATTGGATTAAGCCACTCCTCTGATGAAACCTCAGATGACATCCAATTTCCCTTGGAGCCAAATCTACCTTCTTCACCCCATCCTGCAAGGTCCTAGGTGGTGTGCAGGATGTGGGACTTCCATGGCTCCGTCTCCTAGCATTCCTTTGCTTGTTCACTCTATTCCCCACACTGTTCCCAAGTTCCTGGAGCGAGCCACACTCCCTCCCACCTCAGTGCCTTTGCACTTGCAGGACCCTCTGCCTAAAATGCTTCCCCTGTGGCTGGGGTATTTCTTACCATCCAGGGTGCCCCCTCTGTGTCACTACCTAGGCCTCTCATCTGTTTTCTATGACAGTATAATTTGCATTTAGTTTGTCCATTACTTCTTTTTGTCTGTCTCTCCCCACCAGAATACAGGCTCCATGAGGGCCACCACTCTTGTGTATTTCTGGAGAATGTCCCCAGTACCTAGCCAAGGGCATGTTCAGTGTCGGCCGATAGAAGGCCGGAAGGAGAGAATGGGTGGGTGGGTAGAAGAATGCAAGAGGGGGTGGGTGGGTGAATGGGTGGGTGGAAGGCAGGCAGCTGGGAGGGAGGGTGGGAAGAGGGACTGAATATCCCTGGGTTAACATACATCCAGAAGCAGTGTAGTGCAGTGATCAAGAATGTAAACTCAGGAGCCCAAATGACTGAGTTCAAATCTCATCTCCACCAGCATCAGCTGTGTGACCTTGAACAAGTCACTTAACCTCTCTGAGCCTTGGTTTCCTTATCTGTAAAATAGGGATGATGTCGATGATGGTAATAATAACTACCTTCTCATGTTATTCTGAGGTTTAAGTGAGGTGATACACCTTTAAAGTCCTTAAAACCCTGGCACAGAATCAGCTTTCAGCTGATTAGCTCTTTTTTTTTTTTTTTAACTACTCCTTCTCTTGATCTTTCAACCATGGTATCAGAAAACTCACCCTGAAGATCAAGAGACAAAGAAAAGCTGGCTTCCTCTCAAGAAACGTGCTCCAGAGAATACAAGTTATTTTGGTTGTGAGGAAGAGAATCTCTTTAGAGCAAACATCTTTTGAATCGGCCACAGGGGAATTTGTACCAAGTTCCTCAGAAACAGCTAGAAAAAGAAAAAAAAAAAAAGAATAAATAACAAGATGCTTTCTCTTTTTCTCTGGAGCGGTCATGTGGCTTAGCTGCAAATTATTTCCCAAAACTGAGTCAGCTGGGGAGAGATGGCATGTGTGTTTGAGCCAACCTGTGTCATTAAAACAGCACAAAACAGCCCCCATCCACCCTGGTAACATTTCAAGGATGAAGTGTTTGGGCCCATTTCCACAGCCTTAGGAATCTGATCCACCCAGGTTCAAATCCCAGCTCTGACACTTCTTGGCTAGTGTGACATGTCACCCCTCTGAACCTTGGTTTCTCCCACTGTAACATAAATAGTCATAATCTTATTTGCCTCACAGGGTTTGTAGAATAAATGAGATCACCTAGTGCCTAAAAAATGCAAGATACTAATCGTAGTAGTTGTGATAGCACCAGCTCTTTGAGGCTTGCTGGGTGTGAACTTGCTGAATTTTGTCCCCAGGTTTCATAAGTGTTTGCAAGAGACATCTGACCCTCTCACGGGCCCTTGGCTTGTCAGCAAGACAAGAATTCTCTTGAGAATTTCTTTTCTCTATTTTCTTCCTGAGTTCCCATGTGTAAAACGGCTAGGTCTCCCCATTTGACAGATGGGCAAAGCGAGGCATTCAGAGGGGTGATGTGACATGCCCAAGGGATTGTCTTCTCAAAGGCACGGAGACAGCATCCTGCTCCCTGCAGCATTGCAGCAGGAAGCCGGATTCAAAGGAAAAAGGCTCAGGGAGTCTGGGAGGGGGTCCGGAACTCAGACCTCTGCTGGGCCAGGCAGGCAGCGAGAGGAGTGAAGCCGGCCAGCGTGCAAACTCCAGAAGAGGGGCCATTGCCTCTCCATGGGACCTTGGGCAGGTCTCTGGGCTCTCATGCTTCTCTCTGAGCTGAGACCCCTGGGAACCTCGCGGGTCTCGCTGTGCCACCTCCTCCCCCCTCGGAGCTTCAGTTTCCACAGCTGGGAGAGGCGGCGGCTCACCGCCCCCCTGCCCGCCTTAAAGGTCAAGACTGTGAGGCCTGTGGGGGTCTTGTCACCCGTCCGCAGGAGGCAAACGTCACGCCGGTGGCCCCAAATGTCTTCCTAGCGGGTGACCTTTGGTGAGCAGTGGGCCTTGCCCTGGGGCCGGGCCCCCTCCCACCTCTTTCTCGCTCCCTGGGGGAGGAGCCGGCTGCTCTGTGGGCGGGGCCTGGGGAGCGGCTCACCACATCCTCCCCTTCCTCCCCACCCTGAGCACGCGGTGGGGCTGGGATGGCAGGCATCGCCTCTGGCGGACCCACTGGCGTCTCTCTGCTGAACGACCGAAGGGCTCGGGGTCCGACTGTCTGCCTGCTTCTCCCTGCGCGTGACTGACAGCCACACGGCTGTCTGTCTGTCTGCCTGGGCGGCCAGCTACCTCTTTGCTTGGCTTCTCCTGTCTGACTGGCGGGCCAGCCCTTGCCTGCTGTCAGTCCATCCCCCATGCAGCTGACCGGTCCCTGCCCAGCAACCTCTGTCTTCTGTCCGTGTGTGACCTCCTTGGGACGTGACTGATGGTTGCCTTTGCCTCTGCGTGGCCCGCCTGCCCGGAGCCCAGCTGCCGTCCGTCTGGGTGACAGGTCTTGTGCTGTCTGGTCGTTGACTTGGGGCAGGTTACAGCTTCCCACCCCAGTCCCCTGCCTGTTCTCCCAGACCCCCATCCCTCACGCCAAGCCCAGCTGCCGTCCCCTGGAAGCCCACCGGATTGCCCGAAGCACAGAGAGAATGGATTTCTGAGAAAGAAGTAGGACAGCAGGTAACTCACCTCTAGCTACCGCTCTGGAGGGGGGTGGTGGTGGGGAGGTACCTTCTCTGCCCAGGAAGACATGCAGGGGTCCTGTGGCCTCATCACACCTGGGGACAGTTCACCTGCCTGGCGTGCCTCTCTGTGGGTCTGCAAGAGGCCCCAGGGACATAGAGGCAGAGGCATAGGCATGGCTGAGATGACCCCCTGAGGCTGTGGAAACCAGCCTCCAAAAGGCAGGGGCTGGGGAGGGAAAGCTGGTTCCAGGCTGAACATGATGTGACAGTCACCATGGTTCTGGGCAGCTGAGCCGGGCAGGGGTGGGCATGAGTGTGACGGGGTCTGTTTGGGGAAGTGGGGAGGCATCGACTTTGTACCAGGTTCTGTGTTTTATCTCCTTTATTTTATCTAAATCCTTTAAGATGCGTTGGTGTGCCCATTTCACAGATAAATACAGGTTCTGAGAGGTAGAGTAATTTTCCCAAGGTGACTCAACCAGTACGTAGCAGGGTCGGCAGGTGACTTGGAGGCTGGTCCTGCCCTCCACATGCTGTCTCCTCATCTTTCTTCTGAAAACACGGCGGATATGCTGATGCTGAGAGGCAAATCCGTTCTGTGTGTGCAGAGGAGAGGGGAATGAGGAGACTCAAGGAGGCTGAGCCTTGAAGGATGGGTTGAATTTTGACTTGGAGAAAAAAGGGGGAAGGAAGAAACAGGCAGACACACTCCTGGCAGAGGAGCAGGTGAGTAAACGCCTGGAGGGGAACTTAGGATGCAGAGGACCCAGGGCAGGTGGGGCATTAAAAAGTCAGGGGCTGCTCCTGGGAGGACATCTGCTTTCCCCTGGGGGAAAGCGCGGGGGTTTTAGAAGCACATGGTAGAGTGGGGAAAACCTGGCGGGTTCAAAATCCAGCCATGCGGCTTCCTGGCTGGGTGAACTTGGGCAAGTTTCTCTGCTTCTTCTAGCCTCGTGGAGCCTCGGTTTTCTCATCTGTGAAATGGGGAGAATGGCAGCTCCGTCCTTGTAGGGCTGGTTGTGAGGATTCAAGGGAATGAAAATATCAAAGCTGCTGGCTGGGGTCCTGCCCAGGAAGGGAGTTTGCATCATGAGGAGGCTGGAGCCTGTGGAGGAGAAAGGCCAGTTTCCAAGAGCCATGGAAGGTGCAGGGACACACTCGGGAACGTGCAGTCGGTCCCACCTCCCTCAGCCACCTGGGTTCTGGTCCTCCCGGGGCCAGCGCTCAGCATGCAACAGGCGTGTGAAGCTCTCCCATCATCTTCACAACACCAGGTGAGGCTGGTGGCCTCATTCAGCCCATTTCACAGATGAGGAGACTGCCCCTCAGTGAGGAGAAGCTTGCCCCAGGTCAGCTGTGACCGTAAGATGCAGAGCTGGGTTTGGAACCCCAGGGTGGCAACCTGCTGGACAGGATAACAGAAAAGCAAGAGTCATAGTCCTGGGGCACCTTCTGAGAGGGGCATTGGATCAAGGGGGCTGGGCAGACCCCAGAGCGGGAGCCCCGATCACCTGTTCCCCATGGTGGGTTCAGCAGAAGCCCTAGTCTTGTCCGCCCCACACCTGGCAGGGAGTCTGGATACTCACATCCCCGCAGTGGAGGAAACTAAGAGCCCTTATGTTAGGACGTGGCCAAGACCCCGGGCCAGGAGAGGCAGGTGAACAAGACAAAGGATGTGCCCCAGATGCTGCAGGCTTCCGCCTGCCTATCAAGGAAGAGAAAGGGGTTGGAGGTGGGGACTGGAGCCCAAAGGGGCTTATAGGCAGAGGAAGGGGGCTTGCTGGAGGAGGGGCCCAGTTTAAGAGAAGATAGAACAAGTAAAGCAGGCCACCAGAAACTTTGGGAGGGACCAGCTTCTCCACAGCATCAGGACCACCCTGGGGCCTGATAAATAAATGAATGAAAGGAAGGAAGGAAGAAAGGGCATCCTTCCTCCCAGCGAGGGGAGCCAGTGCCTTGAGAACCCTGGCAGGCCAGAATTATGGCTCAACTTCTCCACGCAGCTGGGAGGTCTCCACAGTCAGCTGGGGAGCCCTGTATCTGGCTCATCACCACACTACCGATTGTGATTTGGGGCTTTGAAAACAGTCAGACCTAGGTTCGAGTACCATCTCCATCACTTAGTACCTGTGTGACCTGGAGTGAGTCACTTAACCTCTCTGAACCTTTGGTTTCCTTATCTGTTATATGGAAATAAGAACGCCTATCTCGGTTTGCTGTGAGGTTTTATTCAATGTGTATTTATTGAGCACTGTCCTAGGTCCTGGGGATTCGGTGGTACACAGACAGAGCCAGTGCCATTTTGAGGGGAGAGAGCTTAGCAGTGGCTCACGAGAAATAGCAGCTACTATGTTTTACTTTAAATATCATTGGTAATAATCGTCTTGTTATTACCCAGAACACTTGGTGTAGCTTCTGGCATATACTCAGCCCTCAATAAATGATCATTCTATAATGATTCTACTCCCCCCTTTCTCAGATGGGGAAGCTGAGGCTCTGAGAGGGCTGGGGATTCCTAGGGTCACCCGGGGAGTCATGTACAAGCAGAGAAAAGAAAGCTGTGAAGACAAGGGAACAAACACTTTCTCGCGGGGGGGGTCTTCCCCCCCATCACAGCCCCTTCCTCCCCCGCTTCTCCCCTTCCGTGCCTTCTGTGGCACCCTAGCCCCCAGGGGCAGGGGAAGGGGGGCTGAGGGGAGCCCCCGCTTCATGGCTCACAGGTGGCACCGCCCCCACTTCTCACCCTGGCGCCCGGCCATAGGGACTTTTTACGGCAGCTCAAATGAGAGCTCTGAGTAAACTTGGAACTTCTGAAACAACCTGACAATATTCCCCGGGGTGTGAGCAGAGGTCCCTCTGAGGGCCCCCGATGGCCAGGCCACCTGCAAAAGGGCCCTGGCCTGCGGGTCCTCACAGCCCCCAGGAAGGATCTGGCCACTCATATCGTCCCAAGTGAGGTGGGGCAAGTGCACCAGCCTGGCTCCCTGCTCAGGCCCTGGCCGCTCCTCGCTCTGTGACCCTGGGCAAGGCTCTGGGCCTCTCTGGGCCTCTATTTCCTCATCTGCCAAGAGGGCTTGATGATGTAGCCTGGGACGGGGGCCTGCAGGCTTTCTCCAGTATGAACCAGTAACCCCCAGTCTACTTGGGCCAGGGCCAGGGCAGGCTGATGGGGGCATGCTGGGCCAGGATGGGATAAAGAGCAGGTCACCAGCCCCGCCCCCCACCTCACCCCAGCCCCCCAGCCCCTCCTCATGACCTCAAGCAGCCCTGGTTGAAGCATCCTCTTTTCTCTGCCCTACAGCCAGCCCCTCCTGGTCAGGGGGGCGGGGAAATGGGGCTGGGGTGAGGTGTGGCTACCAGAGCCCAGGGAGGCTGCACAGTCTGGGTGGGGGTGCCTAGCACAGTGAAGGGCAAATAGAGATGGCACAGGAAGGAAGAGTTTGCTGGGAGTGGGGCATGCGCCTCAGCTGGGGGAGGTTGCACAGGCTGGAGAAGTTCCTGCAGGGAAAGGCCCGTCAGGCTTGGAGAGGCTGCGTGGACAGGGATTTATGGCCCGGCTGGGAGAGAGAGACGGACTAGAAGGTTCCACAGGCTCAGAGGTGGGACAGGCTGGGCAGGCCTTTCCCCTCATGTTCAGCTTCTACTGACTAAGCTGTCATCCCAGGGTCTTGGCACACCTGTCCTCAGACACCCCCAACCCACCCTTTGTCACCGCCCCCTCCCCAAACTATGTAAAAGGCAACTTGCAATACTCGCACACCTACAGTGTGCCCAGCACCCGCCTTACGCTCCCTCAGCCAGGCCAGGGCCACTGCCCCCATTCTACAAATGAGGAAACTGAGGCCCAGAAAAAAGAAAAGCCCAAGGTCCCATTATGAGTTAGAGGCAGAGCCTCCTTCTGGATCCAGGGCCACAAGGCTGGTTCTTCCCCAGCCTGAGAGCTCCGCTTTAAGAACTCGCTGTGTGACCCTGGGCAACCCAACGTCCCTCTATGACAATTTCTTGCTGCTAATCTCATGACAACGGTCATGATCACTCAGACCCTGAAAGCTGAGGGTGTTGCCCCGGGTGGGGGGAAGTTCCTGAGGACAGTGACAAAGTGGATGGAGAAACCAAGACCTCTTGGGGGCTGCCTTGGGGCTTGCTCCTTGTAGGACTGGACACAGCAATTTGTAGCCTCTGTCACTCATTCACCATTCTTCAGCTCCTTGTTAAGTATCTGTTATGTTCCATGCCCTGTTCTCCGCACGAGGGATGCCGCGTGAACAAAATAGGTAAATTTCCCAACCTCTGGGAGCCTATGCTTCAGGATAGAGACAGGTCATAAACACAAAACCAGGAACATTTGCTAAACGAATCCTAATATTACAGTTGCCAAGAAGGAGACAAACAAAGAGGGGTGTGTGGCACCCAGAACTGCAGGGGAGACGCATTTTAGACAGAGAAGGTTGCCTCTTTAAGGAGGCAACACTGTAGCTGAAACCTGAGGATAAGAAAGTAAAGAAGCAGAGGGGGAAAGTGTTCTAGGTAGAAGGAGTGGCATGTGCACAGACCCTGAGGTGGGGGAAAAATGTTGGAGCTCTGGAGTTTTATCCTTATCAAGTGCATACAGATCCTCAGTGTGCTGAATTTAAGAAAGAAGAGTCAAAAAGAATAAGATTTATCTTTGGAGTGTACAGTCTACATGGGTTTCAACATTGAGGGTAAGCTTCAAAATCCATTATGATGGAAAGCATCTTCTTGCGTTTAGTCACTCAAGTAACAAATGCTTTGAGCACCTACTGTCTTGTCAGGCACTGGTTAGCCACTGCCATTCAGCAGTAACCAAGCAACACGTGGTTCCCACCTAGAAATTGCTCAGAATGTTGCCAAAAACACCATGAGCAGTGTGCTCTGGTGGAAGGACGGACCCCAGAGGAAGGAGTGACTCATGTCTTGGAGAGGCCAAAGAGTTACAAAGGAGATGACATTTGAACTGGCTTTTGAAGCCTGAGT